CGAACCAACCACCGAGCACAGCCCATCCTGGCAAGCAAAATATTTGTCTCCCGTCTCTCCCCTTTTCTCAGCTTCTCTGTTTGTGGTTTGGATGGTTTGGAGGTTAGGTGGTTTCCCATTGACCAACAAGGACCAAGGACTCACATCTCCAAACCAGCCAACGAAGGGTTGCCTGAAGGTGAGGTCCTATATAAATCCTTAGAATAGGTTTGTGGGTTTGGGGTTGGCTGAGTCACACGCAATTGGTATGAAAATGGCCTACCCATGTAAAGAGCAGGAGCCGAAGAAGGCACCTTTGTGGCAAGGGGGATCCTCCCTTCAGCGTCGTCTACCCGACTCGGCTTTAAGCAAGCGGCTCATCCCCCACCCCGCCCCCAAGACTCCAACCCAAAAACCAACCCTCACCCCCAAAAAAAAATCACACACACACACACACACGCACACGCACACGCACACGCACGCGCACACGCACACGCACACACACACACACACACACACACACACACACACACACACACACACACACACACACACACACACACACACACACACACACACACACACACACACACACACACACACACACACACACACACACACACACACACACACACACACACACACACACACACACACACACACACCGACACACACCGACACACACCACACACGACACAACCGACACACACCGACCACACACCGACACACACACACGGACACACACCGACACACACCGACACACACCGACACACACCGACACACACCGACACACACCGACACACACCGACACACACCGACACACACCGACACACACCGTCACACACCGACACACACCGACACACACCGACACACACCGACACACACCGACACACACCGACACACACCGACACACACCGACACACACCGACACACACCGACACACACCGACACACACCGACACACACCGACACACACCGACACACACCGACACACACCGACACACACCGACACACACCGACACACACCGACACACACCGACACACACCGACACACACCGACACACACCGACACACACACACACACACCGACACACACACACACAGACACACACACACAGACACACACACACAGACACACACAGACACACACCGACACACACCGACACACACAGACACACACAGACACACACAGACACACACAGACACACACAGACACACACCGACACACACCGACACACACCGACACACACCGACACACACCGACACACACCGACACACACCGACACACACCGACACACACCGACACACACCGACACACACCGACACACACCGACACACACCGACACACACCGACACACACCGACACACACCGACACACCGACACACACCGACACACACCGACACACACCGACACACACCGACACACACCGACACACACCGACACACACCGACACACACCGACACACACCGACACACACCGACACACACCGACACACACCGACACACACCGACACACACCGACACACACCGACACACACACACACACCGACACACACACCGACACACACACCGACACACACACCGACACACACACCGACACACACACCGACACACACACCGACGCACACACCGACACACACACACACACACACCGACACACACACCGACACACACACACCGACACACACACCGACACACACACACCGACACACACACACACACACCGACACACACACTTAAACTCCAAATGGAGAGTGCTAATCTTTCGAGTACAACTGATGAGTCTCGAGTACAACTGATGAGTCTCGAGTATGGTGAGATTCGACTCGCACAACACGTGGCTTCCCTGTAGTTACTTTAAAAGGGGACACACAGAAGCAACGGCGGTTCAGGGAGGGGACCAAAAGGACATTCACAAACATCACAACGGCAGGTACGTCCAACGGCGTCCCGTTGGATTTCACCAGCAAAGAAGGGCGTCTTCATTGGCGCAGGTCCCTTCAATGCTGCCCGCGCCCCCTGCTGAAAATCGGAAAAGGTGGTGACAGGGCATTCTGTCACTCCGCACACACACACACACACACCGACACACACACCGACACACACACGCACACACACACACACACACACACGTTTCCCCCCTTCCCCAAAAAAAAAACGAAAAACACACACACACACACACCTCAAACCCCTCAAACCCCTCAAACCCACCAAAAAAAGGAAAAAACACACACACACACACACCCGCCGTAATGAAGTCGGCGACATCCGGGTATCCGGTGCAGTCCACCACCAGACCAGTGATGCCCGACTCCCTCGGAAAACCGAGTCCCGGTCGCCGCGTCTTTTGTCCCCGAAACGGGGCCGTGTCGTCTCTGGAGGGTACCCTGAATGTGGGCGTCCTCCAAAGGACACCAGCCATGTTTGACATGGTACACCCTTTTTTTGAGGCAAAAGGCATAACCTCTCCATTGTTTGACATGGTACACCAACTTCTTGAGACAAAGGGCATGACCCCTCCGGATTGGATTTCCCAACTGCGCAGCGTGCCCAAATGCATCTTCGCAAACTGCAACTTCGCAGCCGGAATCTCAAATTTTGGGTCATGAGCGAGTTCTTGGCGCCAGTCCTTGAATGCTCATTGCCTGCATCCAAATGCGGCTTGAATCCAACTGCTAGGGTCCATGAAAGACCCCCACAAGCCACGTGACACCCACGTGGCCCCAGCCGGCCATTCCCTCCCTCAAGCTGGAGCTGTCCAGATTTGTGGCCATTGCACATGCATGATCACGGCCATTGCGCTCCTCTTCTCTTAGGGCTTGATCGGAATTGGAAATTACATGACACAACCTCAGCGATTTTTTCTTGGAACCGGATCCCGAAACGCACACCCACCTGCAATGAATAGGCAAGTCGTCCGCGCCAAAAGGCAGGGGCCGCTGGTTGCAGAAAGGGATGAGCCCCAAATTTGACACAAAGTCAAAAGCACTCAGAGTGGTCTTTCGGGTTTGGAGATAGGCCTAAGCTTGTGGCTGTCTCACAAGGCGCATGACAACCAGCGGCTGTTCTGTCAGGTTCCTTGAATCCAACCAGAGTCTTCCTCAGCAGATCTGCACCGGCTTCTCTACATTGGATACATGGGCTTTGCAGCCTCGCGGTCCAAAAAGCTGCGGGCTCTTCCCTGAAATCTCTGTCAACTCATCATTTCTCTCGCAGAAGCTGCGGGTCGAACACATAGCATCCCCACTTCTCCGGAGAGATATAAGCGTATCAAGGAGCGGCAAAGAGCACAAGCCCAGTGCATGTTCTCGATTTCTGGAATATGCTACGGCCATGATACATATTCAAACACTAGGAACATGCTGTCGTTCAGCAGTGTCTTGGGGCATCAACAGCACTGTGGCGGAGTCTCCTGCACAACCCCAGAAGCAATACAAAACAAGCCGATCCAAGTCACATGGCAGTAGGAGTGTTGTTGGAACATGTTCAGCACATCTGAACTGATCGAGTGTCGTATCTAAAATGTATACTTGCTCGGGAAAACGGTCACAAACTAATACACATGATTAACACGTCCTGCCTGCTTCCAAGAAGATCGGCAGAAGCAGTTGTGCGGATGTGTATGAGGAAACACAGTCGCGTGTGTGTGTGTGTACAAAAAGACTGGTTGCAATTGCATACCAACCCCACTGATATCCTTGTGGATGCTGTTGAAAGCTCTCTCCAAATTCGCCCGTGAAAAAAAAACACACAAAAACAAAATGGGACGCGCTGGGTCTGCGATTTCTGAGGGTACCCCTTCGTGGTCAGATTGAACGGGACACCATAGGAAAACACACCCATAAGGGCCTGCCCCAGCCCAGAAAAAGAAAGCGCCACGACCCGAGCGAGACCAAAGACGCCAAGTGGGAGCCAAGACGCCAGCAGCTCGGTTGGGCCACTGCCAGCCGGAGCGCCAGGAGCAAAAACCTGGGCAAGTTGTGACCAGGGCCGTGTTTTTGTTTTCTGAATTGGAAGACCCAAAGAGACTTGAAATGAGGAAATATTGGAAACCAAAATGCAGGTCGCTTGGTTTGTTGGATGCCCCTATTTTGCCAACGCTTGCAGGAAAAGCCCAAGAAGCTGTGAAGGAGTCTGATGTCTGGCAGTGTTTCAGGCTAATCCATCAAGCCACCTCAAATGAGCGCCGTCTGAAACCTCAGTCCCCGGTCGCAGGAAAGAACCACCGCCCAAAAGCAGCTGAACAGATCACCCATAGCACACAAGCTCCACCTTGAAAAAGCAACTCGAAAACAGGACCCGATACTTTCCAGGTTCCTATTGCTGGTGGCAACCATCATCCAAGTAAGCTCCCGGCAATCTCATTTCCTGCAGCGTTTTGCGCAAAGTCACGTCCAATTTTGCCAATTGCCAAGTCTAAAAACGGGGAGCTGAAGCAACAATATCCCTGCATTTGAGCAAGGGACATCATCGAAAAAAACGTCGAACCAAACAGAAACATCCATCCACCCATGCTGCAACTAGCTGCGCTCAGAAATTGCTGACCAGAAAACCTTGTGAACCTTGGTCTTCACGTGATTGCTTTTTCTGGTCAGCGCCGATTTTCCTTTGTCCCCAACAAGTCCAGAGCATGCCATGAGAGCCATGCCTGCGCCTATGGTCCACACGAAGCATTCCAGCCTGGCCAAAACGCCGATGCAGCGAGCAGAATCCAAAAACCCGGCAAACACGCGCGAGAGGAGGCGACGCGGGAAATGCTGCTCTGCACGGCTCTGTTCACATCGATTTGTTCTCTTTGTGGGGGGTCCTTTGACTGAAAAGTACCTGAGATGAATTCCGGTTCAAGCCCGAACATCGTTTCAAAAGGGCGACTCCCAAGAAAAATCATTGACGAAGCGAAGGCATGTTGCCCAACATAATAAATGCAGCATGGCTTGTGGATTCTCTGACAGGCTGAAGGAGCAAAGCACCAACCTCAACTTTCGATCGAATATCAAGAAACGACAAATGCACAGCACAGCACCAAAGCACAGCACAGGACCAGTGAACAACCTTCACCTCAAACAACTGGCAGGCAACAAACTCAATCCATGCCAGTCCCGGCCCACACAGAATTGGATACCTCACATAACTTGGTGCGACACATCGCAGGAAATGAGAAATGGACTGAACCCAGGGATTCGTTTCTGGGGGTCAATCCATTTCTCATATCCCCCTTGAGATCAAGGGGACCGCATAACTCGGCCAAGCCACAGGCCCGGGGGCCGTCCATGGAGGCCCGCGCCAGGTGCCGGAAAGGGGAGCGTGTCTTAGCTGGAGCCAAGCGCAGCAGAGACCTCGGAGCTTGGGGCTTGGGAGATCCGGTGGAAACACGGAGCCTGGACAGGCTGGAAATCATGTGAATTTGTGTTTCCATGACAAGCAGAAAGAAGTCTTCAGATTGTTCTGAAATTGCAGGGGAGGACACTCAAGCGTTTCGTTTTGTTCGAAAGCTGGGACTTACTCATCACCCGCCACGAAAACGCGAAGTGATACTATACTTGTATCTGTACAGTATGGTTGTATGGAAACATTGTATTGTGCCTTTCTCCACTCCATTTTCATCATAGCCCATTCCTTCCTCCTTCTTCTTCACACGCCATAAGTTGTTTCCAAAATGAAAATGGTGGGTATGGCGTGGTAAAAGGACTGGATAAAGAAAGCGAACGGGATGTTACACCTGTTGGCACTTCATAGGATATAGAAAGGAAAGCACTTAAACCACAAATCCTAATGAAAACAATAATACGATATAGAAGCCTTCAAAAATCCAAAGATTTATGTTTGCATTTTGCATATTCCTGTCGTATTTACAATTAAGAATTCCTAACCCTACCGGATGCCACAAAATTGATGGAAAACATGTTCTCATTGACCCCCAAATACGCATGTTGGAAATCCAAAAGTGGCCTTACCAAAGCGCAAATTGGAAAAGATCGCTATCTTTCGCGGCCAAGGCAACAGGAAGCCAAGCAGCATTTGACATGAGGCAATGATCGGCCATTCAACAAGAACGAAAAAATCTCACCAATTTGAGCCTGAAAAACCCACCCCAAGGCGAACCTCCCCGCGCTCTCCGCTAGACGGCTTGCGCACAGCAACGTGCAGCCACTTCAGTTTTGATCCAAACACCGCCAAGCTTGGCAGCGCACCTATTTTTCACAGAGGAGTAGCGCTGGGGATGTCAAGCGCACGATGCTCTAATGCGGAGGCATCCACCATGGATTGCAAGATGTCCGTGGCTGGATGGCAGCACCAAGGCAAACTTTTGAAGCCTCCCCCCTGGGATGTGTAGGGCGTTGGCGGGCAGGACAAAATTCCGTCCAAAACAACCGAAACAATTTCATGTTTGGCTCAAAACTTAAAGTGCCATCGACAAGTTGACAGCTTACTTTCACCGCTTAAAGCCCACCAAGGACATGTCAAAGAAAAAACAATGAGGCGGACGAGCGCGCGGCTTCTTTTTCTACGCGTTGCTCAGAGTTGCAGGCTCTGGGGTGCAGATGAGTCAACATGCGTGTTCAACTCATTTCTTCTGCATCCCGGGCGGGGCCTGTTATGATACCCCCTGGCTGACAATGCGTGCTCAGCCAATTTCAGTGCAAGATTTGTACTTGCTCGGGTGTGCAACCGTTCGGGAGTTAAATGCTGGTGCAGGATGCATATAACGTGCCGCTGCATGCAAGGTGGCTGCACGCAGAAAGCATGTGGCATGCGACGCCTACGCCCCGGTCATTGGCGGATTGACCTCGGTAAAGAAACGGGGTGGGTGCGTGAGTGGGTTTTGACGGAGCCAAGTCGGGATCCCCCCTCCAAAATCACGCCCTTGAGACTTGAAGCAGAAATGGCAACGCGGCCGAAGATTCAAACAGTTTTAAAACACAGGAGAACCAAACAAACAAGCGTGAGAATCCTTCACTGCTTCAAGCCCACCAAGGACATGTCAAAGAAAAGAAGCCAATGAGCACAAAGCATGCGGTGGAAGCAGTGTCTTCCTTGGAAAAGACTGCAGGGGCAGCCGTGCATGCAGTCTGCAGCGCCCAAGAGCACGCGCAAGCCTTTTGCACCGCATGCAGGCTGAACACGTCTCCTCCCGCGCACTGCAATTCCTACTTACAGTGAATTCGAACCGCGACTGACTAAGATTGCAACGCAGCTCGAAGGCGTCTTCCTTCGCTGCGGGCGCCGGCAAGAGTGTTCAAGCAAATGTTCAAGGTGTTGTCGGCCCGCCAAACTGCGGAAGGCGTCTGCGCACAAAAGGGCATAGTTCTCAAAACTGGCGCCAAAAACACCCCCAAAAAATGGACCACCGTTCGCAACGCGGAAACTTTGCCCTGCTAACCTTGGTCCCTGGTGTTGGCCCCCTCCTGGCGGGTGACTGTTAGTCGCTGGCGGGCAAGACCTTGTGTCCAGCAAATTCAACCCTCGCACAC